CGAGACACCCCCTCCCCCGGCTCCGGACGTTGTTACAGCCGCCGCCGCCGCCAGGCAGTCACATCCCCGGAACTCCGCCGCGGGACCCAGCCTCCCCCCGCAGGTGGGGGCCGTGGACAACCGAGGGGCTCCTCAGCCGCAGGACCCGGGTAGCGGCTCCGGCTCCGGCGCTGCTCAGGGACGGACACCGACCCCCGCGGCCGCCATGATGGATTAGGAGCCGCTCCACAACGAGGCCAGGCCCCGCCCCTGACCCCGCCCCCGCCGACGTCCGGCGCGCGCCTCGCGGGGACCCGGGCCTTCCCGGCGCCGCTCTCGGGCACGCCGCCGCGCCCTCCGCCTCTGGTCTCCCGACCCGCCAGAATTCGGCCCCACACGACCTTTTAAATGTGGTTTTTCCGAGCGCAAGGTGAGCGGCAAGGAAGCCCCGCCTCCTCTGTACCGCCATTGGTCCCTGAAAATCCGGGTCAGGTCTCTCTCCTGCGTCCCATTGGCCGGTGAGGGCAGTAGGCTAGAGTTCCTGGCCAACCCCAGCCGGCGCAGGCCGCAGGGCATGCCGGGGGTCGTAGTCCCGAGGCGCCCGCTCCTGTCCGCGCGCACCCGAGACTTCTTGCCCTCTGCTCCCGGCTCCTGAGCTTCGGTCCCGCCCTCCAGGGAGCCGGTGGACTCTCGCCTGCCTCGCGTTGGGCTGGCCAATGTCTCTCCTGCGCGGGTAGTAGGACCGGCGAGGAGCCAAAGCAAGGGGAAAACTGCGGATTGGATTATCTCAAAACCGGAGTTGGATTACTTCCTTAAACCTCTTTAGGGAAGAGGGAAATTTGGCCCGCTCCTGGAAACCAAGGTATTTGGTGCCTTACCCTCCCTCCCCAAATTCTCACCTTTTCCGCAAGAAGTATAAATATTAGAACTGGCGAAATATAAATGACTGAAGAGCATCCGACCTATTGCGAACGAATTTTCTTAGAGGCTCCCTCATCAAAGGAACAGCTTGTTAAGCACCTCTCAGAGGCTAAACCAGGCGTAATCGCAGCTGTTTGAGCTAGAAAGAGGCTTTAAGATGAAACGACCTCATTTTGTGCACATACATGTATTTGCATGAGAACACCCTGTTAGCTGAGAAAATACTGATTGTTGGGCTAGCAGGCCCACAGAGACAATGACCCAAACACACCAAACCCACACTTGTCATAACCCATCTCCTGCAACTGAAAAGCACCCACCAGGTCCCTTAGTCTTCACCCTCTGTGTGTCCCCATATATGGAATATGTGCCCATTTATAAGGAGATCCACTCATTCTAGTGCCTACTCTATATCGTAATGCTTTTCACAAACTACATTATCTAATTTAATCCTCACTGTAGTCCAGTGAAGCATGTAGTATTATTCCCCATTATGCACTTGAGGAAAAAGATTCAGAGACGTGACTTACTCAAGGTCACTTGCCTAGTTAGTATGTGACAATGTCACCATTTGAGCCCGGATGAATCTTGCTGCAAAGCCCATGATTTTCCCACTGTACCATTCAGTATCAAATAACTTGACCAAATGTTAGACAATTGACTTTTCAGAAGTTGCTGGCATTAGGGAAGAAGCTACATTATGGATGTTGTACGTCCAGTTAGTATATTGAGTTATGGATTTTAGAAATATTTCTGCTGGATGGGGAAATGGTAGTGACTTAACAGTGGCATCGAGAATAGTCGTGTAGAGGTACCGAATGTGAGCATGTGAAAACTTGTACCCAAAGTTGGAACTGAAATGTATTAATTGATGTTAGTAGGTTTAGCTTTGCTCTCACAAAATAATCTGGTTGACACTTAGTCCTGACTCATAGTATCATTCTTCAAACATTCAGCGCCCTTGTTCTCCTTTATTTACCTACGATCTCACCCTGATCAGCACCCTCCTCGTTATTTTCAGCAATTTTGCTTTCTTCCTATTCATGCTTTAATCGCATCCTGTGCATCATCATTCTCTAGTTCAGCTTAAAATTGAGCAACTGGATCAAATTCTTTTTTTTAAGGTTTATTTAGTTTTAAGAGAGAGAGAGAGAGACACAGAGTGTGAGTGGGGGAGGGGCAAGAGAGAGAGGGAGCCACAGAATCCCAAGCAGGCTCCAGGCTCTGAGCCGTCAGCGCAGAGCCCCACACGGGGCTCGAACTCATGAACCATGAGATCACGACCTGAGCTGAAACAAGAGTCTGATGCCTAACAAAATGAGCCACCCAAGCACCCCTAAAATTTTCTAATACGCGTCTCTTGAACTAATTCATTCAACAAGCATTTGAGTCCCCTGTGTGCCAAGCACTGCTCTAGTTGCTGGCATACAATGGGGGGCAGGGGGACACTCATCTGTGTCCAGAGGAGCATACCTAAAGGGAGGGACAGGCAGTGAACAAAATGGTAGCTCAAGGGATTGGTCTCAGGGCTGGAAATAAAGTTTCTGGACCTACATTCTTTCACGAACAGTCCAAGCCACTCTCTAGATTATTATTCTTTTTCATTTGAGAGAGAGCATGCCTGCGAGCAGAGAGAGGGGCGGGGGGAGCGGGAATAAGCAGGCCCCATGCGGGGCTCCTTCCCACAACCCTGGGATCATGACCTGAGCCACCCAGGTGCCCCAGTCCAACCCATTCTCTAAAAGGCTGCTTTCCCTCTAAAGCTTCAGCCTATTCCTGATCCATAGTTCCTCCTGAGCTTAATCAAGCCATTTTCTCTGAACTACTTTCTTCACTGGTTAAGTGAGGATCACATCTGCTGGCTGTCAAGAGATCTTGTTTGGTCTTCCACAGGGTGAGATTATGCTGCAGGGGTCAGTGTGGAGGCCACCTGCACCTGATCTAAATGCGTATCCAATCTCCATTTTCCACCGACCCACCTTCTGGTGGTGAACCCCAAGCCTAGACTACAATATTTTCTAGAGACGCATTATGCTCTTTTCTCCCTGTAGAACGTTGTAGAATGATACTTTTGAGGACTTAAAACTAAAATCCAGGGGCGCCTGGGTGGCGCAGTCGGTTGGGCGTCCGACTTCAGCCAGGTCACGATCTCGCGGTCCGTGAGTTCGAGCCCCGCGTCGGGCTCTGGGCTGATGGCTCAGAGCCTGGAGCCTGTTTCCGATTCTGTGTCTCCCTCTCTCTCTGCCCCTCCCCCGTTCATGCTCTGTCTCTCTCTGTCCCAAAAATAAATAAACGTTGAAAAAAAAAAATTAAAAAAAAATAAAATCCAGAGCCCAGCAAATGCCTGATAGTCAGAAACCAATGTTGCCAAACACTGAATAAATCCCTTCAGGTTCAAATATTCATTAAAAGTAATTCAGTTCAGTCTAATTTTGTCCTCACTTTTATAAAGCAAAATCAACCCATGAGTTGCTACAGGAAGTAAGTATAAAAATTTCAGCTTATTCCATTTTCTTAAAAACACGCAATGGAATTAACACTCAACAAGGGCGCCCTCTAGTGGGCCACGGACGGTAGATCAGCCCGAAACGGTGCTTTCAGACCTTCACCCTATTCCCATCTGGCAGATAATTGCCATTCTGTATATACCGAAAGTACAGCATAGGCTGGCAGCCTGGGAGAGACCAAGGGAGACCAAACTTTCAAAGAGCTTACAAACGATCCCCGCCCAAACTCAAAATCAAACCAGGGACTTCGGCTTCCCCCCACCCCCCTTCCACAAAGAGGCATCCAGCCTGGCATGTGTTCTGAACAAGATGCCAAGTGAACAAAACTAAAGTTACAACACAGCCTATGGAACATTCAGTTGTCTGCAAACTCCTCGAACAGATGATACACTCTGGAAAGCCAAAAAAGAGGTAAAATGATACCCCTGAGTCACATTACAAGGACAAGAAACATACTGTTGCTCAAGAGCTGAGCTATAGTTCATAACCGTCAAAGGCAGTGTTGTCACTACCGCTGAAACTGTCCTGGGTTTACATTTTCCTAGGCGACCCAAATAGAGTATTGAAGGCCTCTGTCAGAATCTGTATCTGCTAAACCCTCCTTCAACTGGACTCAGCTCTCGTTACACAGGACACAAGACCAGAAAGTGATGTTAACACATTTATAAATATATAAAAATAGTTCACTACATATGTGAAATAAAATAGCACTTTATAAAGAGAGGGCTTTTAAAAAAAGTTTCCCCAAACCTGAATCAAAGTACCCTCTTTAGATAGTCATTAGGAAAACCGATGCATGGGAATTCTAGCATTCCTCAGTGAGAATTCCAGCCTCTTGTTTTTCGCCCTGAATTATGCCAAAGTTAATGCATTACTACTTCAGCTACAGGATGAAGACAGCTTTTCTTTTCCCACCTGCATTTGTTTCCATGTTCCTCACAGCACCCAGAGCATTCGTTCCATTATCGATAATTCAACTTCTTACAAATCACCCTAAAGGCAGGACAGATTAAGGCAGCCTGCTAGAGATGTACTCGCATCTATCACCAGAAGGATCATGCAATGGGAAATAACGTTCCAGCCAAGCAAAAGGCTGCTTGGTTAACTTTATTCTTCTATTCGACTGCCGGGTTGACGTCACTAACTATATTCTTCAATGTCGTACTTGTGCTGCAGAGGTGGAAATAGAGGCCAAAACGGACAATCTGGGGGTCAGGGAGGCTGTGTTGTTTATAGGGGCAGTTTCATGGGGGCTTTGTGCCTTGTGAACTGATGGTGAGTAGAAGACAAAAGATTCTCCGTATTATTCCAGGATGGGAGGCCACTTGGCTGGAACACCACGTGCTTTTAAAGGCTCGAAACTACCCCTAGTGCCGGACTCTGCAGGCAACCTAAGGGACCGGCAGTACATTCCCCAGGCTTTGCCTTAGAACAAGAGAGAGCAGCCCTTTGGGCCGGAGGCAGCCCAGTGTGGGTTAAGGAATGAGTTTCACGGTTCTCCGCTGAGCCACACTTGGGGACCACAAATCAGCTTCTTCAGTTTCAAGAACTGCTCCACTCAGGTACACGCAGTCCTGTCCTTCAGAGGCCTCTCTTCATCCCTCCTGTTCTAAAAGCCTCTGGCGCGTTTCCATCACTATTTCCTCCATTATTTCTGGCTTTAAGATGTCTTTGATCTAAAGAAGAAAAGGTATTTGCTCAGAAAAGCAATCAACCATAAGCAGCCATAAGCCAATCCAAACGCAGAAACCAAGCATGGCTACCATAAACCCTCTGCACTCCTCTCATCTGTCAGAGGCTAAGTACTGCGAGACAGGATCTGCTACAACCAGCTTAACAAGTCATCACGAATCCATGGTATACAGTGACAGGAGCAGAGACATTCTCCCGGCATTCACTAACAAGCTACAATTTGGGATGGGCAAGACGAAGTCCTGACAGCTGATGTCATACACTGGTCCCCCCAGGGGCCCCCACCCCGCCCCCCCAAATCCTCGGACTGACACTAGACGTTGAGGACGTTAGAAGCATCTTGGGGAAACATCTACCGGCCACCCGGGAGAGCTGTCCGCCAGATCGGGTTCATACCGACGGACCCGGTAAAGGTATCTGGGAGACGTGCTTGCTATCACTGAGGAGACACGGGAGCAGACGACAGACACACGACACCGACTCACAGACTGATGGGGAAAAGGGAAGGCCCGGGCGGAGTACCTGATGCGGAAGGGACGCCTCATAGCAATACAGGATACTGGTATCGTACAACATCATCCTCTGAGTGACCAGCGAGACGATGCAGTTCCGAAGCCGGGAGATCACCTCTCGGTCAGCGAGGGAGACAGGCTACCAGCAGACGCAAAGGGAAAATAGAATCAGAACGACAGTAAGAGGACAGTCCCAGCAAGTCACAGAAATCACTTCTGATTTAAACAGTATCAACTCTGGGACTCCCAACCAACCAAACGGCTAGCTCCGAGGGAGACGAAGACAGATGACCCTTCGGTTGCTGTTACCCTGTAACTTGCTACCTCTGGCGACAAAGATCAAACCAGTTCCATTCCATCTCTTGAGAAAAAGACAACGCATGGGGCGCCTGGGTGGCTCAGTCCGTTAAGCGTCAACTTCGACTCAAGTCATAATCTCGCGGTTTGTGAGTTCAAGCCCCACGTTGGGGTCTCTGCTGTCAGAACCCGCTCCGGATTTTCTGTCCCTTTTTCTCTCTGGCCTTCCCCACTGGTTCTCTCCCTCTCCCTCCCTTCCTCCCTCCCTCCCTCCCTCCCTCCCTCTCTGGCTCAAGATAAACAAACTTAAAAAAATAAAAAGAAAAGGGGTGACTGGGTGGCTCCATTGGTTAACTGTCTGACTTCAGCTCAGGTCATGATCTCACGGTTTGTGCGTTCAAGCCCCGCCTCAGGCTCTCTGCTGACAGCTCGGAGCCCGGAACCTGCTTCGGATTCTGTGCCCCCCTCTCTCTGCCCCTCCCCTGCTTGTGCTCTCTCTCTCTCTCAAAAGTTAAGTAGTTTTTTAACGTTTTTCTTTTTAAATAAATAAAAAGAGAAAGAGAAGGCAACAATGTTCATGAAGACATCTCGACGGAGACCCACACTAACGCGGACGACAGCAACCATATGGTTTAGAAACAGCCAGCCCGCCTGTCCCAGAAGCACAGCGAAGACTGAGCACCGCTCCGCCACGAGGGCAGCAGCAGCAGCAGCGTTTCCTCACCTCCAGGTTTGCGGTGAGGCCCCCTGCATCCTCTTCTTTGTGGCCAGGCGTCGGGTAGATCCAGATGAAGCCGTTGGTGCCCAGAATCACCGACGCACCACACGGCAGGTCATGGAAGTGAGTCTTCTGCCGCTTCACCAGGGAGGGGGACACCTGGACCAGAACCCCCTGACCTAGCTGGAGGAACACAGCACACGCGAAGTCACCGCAGGGTCACCCGTGCAGTGCGGGAAGAGCGGACCACAGGACGCGCGTCCTCGCTACGGCAGAAGCAGGGCCGCTCCTATCAGCAGCCTCAGTCACGGTCACTGGACGCACACACACCGGAAACATTCCCGGAGAAGGCTTCCGGACGCAGAGGTGGTTCATGAGGCCGGAGAGAAGGGGACTTTCCATACTCTCCTCCCACCTTCCCGTCACCCCAGGGTCGCCGCGCCAGCAGTCAGAGCAGCCGGAGCTAATGAGGACGCGAGCCCGAGCCTGTTTCGGGCCAAGGCGCACTGTCCCATTCCACCTCGATCCCAACCACCTACCTTGCCCGTGAGATGCGTGCCGCCGGGCAAGAGGACTGGCCAAGGGCGGAGTGCAAATCCACCCCGGGTCCTGGCAGGACCGCTCCAAGCCCCCATCCCACTGAGGGAGGGTCTGCAGGACCCAGTCCCGTGAAGGTCGGCACACGCGGTGCGGCAACTCTACCCACTTCAAGGCTGTGAGCATGGCTGACCGTGGCCGCTCCACCAGGGAACAGTCTTCTGTTCCACTCAGGAAACGAAAAGGTTCACCCAGATGAAGCCAAGAGACTAGCGAGTCGTAATTTGTTTTAGAAAGTATGGGGCGCCTGGGTGGCGCAGTCGGTTAAGCGTCCGACTTCAGCCAGGTCACGATCTCGCGGTCCGTGAGTTCGAGCCCCGCGTCAGGCTCTGGGCTGATGGCTCAGAGCCTGGAGCCTGTTTCCGATTCTGTGTCTCCCTCTCTCTCTGCTCCTCCCCCGTTCATGCTCTGTCTCTCTCTGTCCCAAAAATAAATAAACGTTGGAAAAAAAAAAAAAATTTAAAAAAAAAAAAAAAAGTATGCTGTCGGGGCGCCTGGGTGGCTCAGTCAGTTGAGCGACCAACTCGGCCTCAGGTCATGATCTCGCAGTTGGTGGGTTTGAGCCCCGTGTCCGGCTCTGGGCTGGCAGCTCGGAGCCTGGAGCCTGCTTTGGATTCTGTTGTCTTCCTCAATCTCTACCCCTCCCTTGCTCATGCTCTGTTACCTCTCTCTCTCAAAAATAAAAACTAAGAAAATAAAATAAAAAATAAAGAAACTATGCTATCGTTAAAAAAAATAACAGCCTCGGTAATGTAACCTCATACAACACCTACGAGAAAAGCAGTGACATTTCATTTAGAAGCTCAAGTGGCAAACCAGCCCTTCCTAATAATGAATGATACCCATTTTATTGGCTGGACATTTGTCTAGAGCCAAGGCCATCAGGTTTCAATGCACCACCTCCCCTCGCTCCCAGGACAGCCTCTACCCCTGGCCCCTGCGTAAAGCGGCAGTGCCCCCGGGAGGGAACAGACACAGCAGGGCCTCCGGGCCCAGGGTCACAGGAACTCTCCTGCCGCAACATCGCCTCAGTAGCAGGAGAAGTAAAAGCTGTCGTTCGTTACACTACTGACCCACAAACCAGCCAGTGTGTGGGATGCCAGCCTGTAACGCTTAACTTCTGGGGTTCTTCAGGCCGAAATCCAGAGCCTTGGGGATTCAGAAAAGGATTTGAAGTCTCAGCTAGCCTACAGGAACAGCAAGAGTCCAACTTACTTTTCCGTATTTCAGACTCCTTGTGTGCAGAGACACCGCTCCATCAGAGAATACTGCCTGGACTTCCGCCTGGCCAAGGTGATAAAGGAACACACACTTTCACGTCACCTGCCTTCCCTGTGTCCCTGATCCTTCCTCTCCTCCTTCCCTCCCATCCCCAACAGTCCCACTCGCAGCCTTAGACAGACCCAGAGGACATCAATGGGACCTAATCTCTCTCCTCCTTGGTTCTCGTGAATATCTTGACACGAACAACACCTTTTCTACTCCCTGGATCAAAGCTAACGTGGCCATGAAAAGTGGAGTCTAGCTTAAGGCACGGGCCACCACAAGTTACAAAACCCACAGAAAGGACTTGAGGCAGCAGGTCTGAATAAGAGCCGGGGAGTCCGGTTGGGTTAAGGAGGTGGAGAAAGACTGCAGCGGAGCCCCTGGCCTTGAGCTAGGATTCAGATCCCCGCCAGGACATGTTTCTCCTGGTGGAGACATAAAATTTAAGCCCCATTTCCCAGTTCCATGTGAAACATAAAGATGCTGTCATGCAAGGTGCAGGATACACTGATAAGGTCCCCTTCCTGCAAGAAACCTCTCATGGCCAGCTCATCTTCCGCAGATCTTCTCCTCTGAAATACACAAAGAGGTGACATGGCCTAAGTCAGACAGATCCTGCAGAAAGATCTCTCTCCACCTACTTTCTCTTTCACTTCCTCGTGAGATCTCTGGAACCACAGTATTCAAACACCAGAGTAGGTAACCAGTGTCACTCAAGGAAAACCAGAGCGATCGCCACTACTTTCTGTCTCACGGACCTTCCCACGGCTCCTCTTCCCCTCTCCCGCCCTCCTCTGGATAATATCCCAAGTCCTTCCGCGCTACTGAAAACGCTCCCAGGGGCGCCTGGGTGGCGCAGTCGGTTAAGCGTCCGACTTCAGCCAGGTCACGATCTCGCGGTCCGTGAGTTCGAGCCCTGCGTTAGGCTCTGGGCTGATGGCTCAGAGCCTGGAGCCTGTTTCCGATTCTGTGTCTCCCTCTCTCTGCTCCTCCCCCGTTCATGCTCTGTCTCTCTCTGTCCCAAAAATAAATAAATGTTGAAAAAAAAAAAGAAAAGAAAAAAGAAAACGCTCCCAATCGTGCCCAGCCCACTTTTCCCCACTCACCTTCCGTGGCGGCCCTCCATGCTCCAGTAGGCCCAGACTACCTCCTGCCTGACTTATCTTTACTCACACGTTTCCCATTAGCTCAGATTCCCTGTGAAATTCTATCCATCCTTCAAAGATCAACTCCAGCGCCCCGCTTTCCGATGAGCGCGCACTCCTTTTGTACAAGCGCACGCCTGTTTATCCTTCCGACTGCCGGATATTTAGATCGCTTATTTCGTTTCCCCTACTCATCTGTACACTCTTTCAGGAACTCGGTCATGCCTCCTTTATCTTGCCTTCTCTGGAGAAACTAGCACAGCGAGCCTCTTTGCAATAGATGCTGGACTGAAGAGAAAGGCAAACCGTGGCATTTTACAAGAGGCTGCCCCTCAGCTACTGCAGTTGCCTGGAACAACCAAATGCCATTCAATTCAGGACAAGCTAATCTGAGCACAACTTTCCAAGGCACACATTTGGGATCGCTCCCCGTGGCTGTTCCAGATCCTACCACATCCCAATTGCTGCTTATCTGGGGAGGCCTGGGCCAAGTAAAAAGCCTATGTGTGGGGCGCGTGGGTGGTTCAGTCCGTTAAGCGTCCGGCATCGGCTCAGGTCATTCTCTCCTCCTGGCTCATGAGTTCAAGCCCCCCATCGGGCTCTGTGCTGACGGCTCGGAGCCTGGAGCCTGCTTCGGATTCTGTGTCTCCCTGCCTCTCGGCCCCTCCCCGGCTCGTGCTCTCGCTCTCTCTCTCAAAAATAAATAAACATTAAAAAAAAATTTTTTTTTAATCTTGTAACTGTAAAAAAAAAAAAGTGTACGTGTAATCTAGACAGCAAACAAGACTAAAGGAGGCAACCTCACTAAAAGCAAAGTTCTCTAGTGGAGGAATAGACGCCAGCATTCTTGCTAGCAAACTACAGTACCGGCCTGGAGACCCTTACCAGCTCTCCTCCAGGAAGGTTCATAGACGAGAGAAGCAAGACTGAATCCAGCCTGGAGTTGGTCTCTACCTTCCACCTCTTCTGTTGAACCTGCAGAGAAATTTCACAGTTGGACAGACTTCAGGGGCAAGAGCTCATATCATAAGCAACCAATAATCCCTACTACAACAAGCCAACTGTTTACCTCAAAGGGCACAAAGAGTCCAATGCAATTAATGCCCACTGGCATCACTACATAGGGAATGGCTATCCCAGCCATTCAGTCACCAGCTTGCTTTTACTTTGTAAAAACCCATCTGGTATCGACTTTACCTCTGTGATTCTCCCCACTACAATGTCTCCTACTTCACCATTATATCTGAAAGATAAAACAAAAGGTCGTCCATCAGTAAAAAGACCTCATCACAAGACCAAGCATCATTCGTGATTTCGGTTAAACAGGATGAGGGCCTTAATTACATACCACGTTTAAATATGGTAAATTCACATAACTATGCTTTTTAAATTTATTTTCCCGGAACTGAGAACTTCAAACATTCCTACATGTATAAAGTCTTCGTTAATTATTCTTAGACAAACCATTTATTCCAAAGAGTTCATTAAGCCCGTAACCCCTACTTTGTTAATTACATGCCACCGATAAGCATGGAATATTTCCTGCTGGGCTCTGGAACATAGACGGCTTCTGCATCAGCAAAGGAGGAGGAGACTGAGACAGGACCCCACTCCACCCCACCCCAACCAGTCTACACACTGTCTCCTTCACCCACAAGGTGCTCACCTCCGGCCCCCGTGTTAGTTCCCTATCCCAATTCTAATGATGAGGTGTTCCATGCTGAAGGCTCCGGCCGTGGACCTCTTCTCTCTTCGCCCACATTCACCTCTTGGTGAGCTCATCCAACCAAATGGCTTTAAATACAACCAATGACTATTCCGTCCCGAATTCCAGACTCTACTCAACTGCTGGCTACACAGCATCTCTATTTACGTGACTTAGAGGCATTTCCACATGTCACCAACCTAAAAGCAAAGCTTTCCAACGGCCCCCTCCCCAGCTCCCGTCACAAACTGGTCCCCTCCCAGTGATCACAGTCTCAGTAAATGGCAACGCCATCCCTACAGTTGCTCAAGTCAAAAAGCTTGGGAGTCCTTGGAAGATCCCTTGATTTCTCTTTCTCTCTCTCTCTCTCCCCCTCTCCCTCTCATGCTCTGGGACAAGTCCAGCAGCTGATCCTACTGGCTCTACCTTCAAAATATACACGGAAATAAAAGGCATCCCAATTGGAAAAGAAGTGACACTATCTCTATTCACAGACATGGTCCTACATATGGCAAATCCCAAAGAATACAAAACCCAACACTGTTACGGGATGAAAAAAACAAACTCAGGACACAAAATCTATGCAGAATCAACCACTACTCCTCACTCCTACCGCCATCTTAGTCCAAGCCGCCATCGCTTCAGATGATGAAAACAGTCCACTGTGTCTCTCTAAACCTGCCCCTGACCCCCTCTCAACACTCCTCCAGAATCAAGAGAAGTCAGACCAGGCCCCTCTTCTGCTCCATCCCTTCCAGCGGCTTCCCAGATTATAGAGTGGAAGACAAAATGCTTACCGTGGCTACAAAGCAGGCTGTCTGCCCACCTCATCTGCCCCTACGCTCTCCCTTGCTCGCTCTGTTCCAACCCTACTGGCTTCCTTTCCGGAGCTAACCTTTACGGAGCCCTTCTCGGTAGTGCACCCTGCACTAAGTACTTTACATGTCCTATCTGAATGAATTCCAATGAAAATCCTACAAGGTAGGTCACGCTATTATCCTCATTTGCAGAGGAGGCGACCGAGGTTTGGAGAGGTCAAGTGATGTGGGGAAACCTTTGAAGCCCCCACTTACCTATAGTCATCTATACCCCTTTCCACCGTCATGTTCAAAATCGCAGACCTACTGAACCGCAGACCTAAGGCAGGTGGGAATGAGGGGAATGACACAAGAGAATACACACCTTTTGTTCTCACCTGGTTTTCAAGGCTTTCACACAGATCAACTTGTTTACCCTCTCCACGGAGCCAGCCACAGATGCAATGAGCTTCTCTTCCCCCATGTAAGTTCCATGGCCCCTGTTACAAGAGTAGGATACAAAGAATACACTTGCCATGACCTCTCCTTCCAAGAACAAGGGTATTCCTAACAGGATCCTCCCACTGTAAAGCCTGGCTTCTCTCTCTGCCCACAACACTCCTTCTTTAGAGAGCTTCACGGACATCTCCTTTGTCTTACCCCTGTCTACTCAAATGACACTTTCTCCATTAGGCCCACCTTGACTATCCCATTTAAAGGAGTCCCCTCACCATGCTGCCACCACCGCCACCATATCTCCAACCACATTCCACTGATGCTGCTCAACTTTTCACTTCCCCCATTGCAGTTATCGCCAAACATACCAACCCATTTGTTGGGTTCATTGCTTATTATCTGTCTCTGTTGAGAGATAAATTCCACTAGGACAGAAGTTTCCACTCTGATCTCAGTTGGACCCCAACCACACGTAATTTAAACCTATGTTGAATTCAGGAAGGAAGGACTGACACTTAAGATTCCCTAGGTTCCAATAGCCTCAAACTAAAGGGTTAAAGCGCAATGCTATAAATGCTGTACTCCCCTCCTCTCCAAAAAGTCTTACACACCACTGGTGTTTATCTCTGATGGTGACAGAACGGTGAGTTTTGCTTCTTTTCTTAATTATCGCCTCATCTAATCCTCGCTTCCCTATCAAACGGTTACTGTTATTATCACCATTTTACAGATGGGAAATCTGACAATGGAGAGAGAATACAACCAATAATATGTGATGGCGCAGGGCTGGAACCTCAACTGTCTGGGTCAAGAGTCTGCTCTCTTAACTACACATATTGTACTGCCCTCGGATTCGAAATGTATATTTGGGTGCGTGCGGCACAATATGTTTCTATGCCCTGAGCCCAAACAACTGCTGATTCCAAAACCGAGCACCTGGCTAAGCGATGTCGCTGAGAGAAGAGGAGACCAAGTCAGAAATGCCCACAGTCCCCTCAATCTGAAAACTGGAAAAGAGGTCTCTGCTCCTAACCCCCACCCCCAGGGTTGCAGGTCTCCAACGAAGAAGAAGAGGAAGTCTCAGAGATCAGGGTCTCAGGCAGAGCACCCAAGAGTCGTTGATACCAGAGCTCAGGACAGAAGAGCTTCCAAGGGCTGAGGCAAACGCAGATGGGGACTATTTCCGAGCCCAAGGACTCAGAAACAAGGGGACTGCGATGCTCAGATGTGCCCTGCGTCAGGCGGGTACTTAGGTGCAAGGGAACAGAGGCCACGTGCAGAGAGCCCAGCAGCCGCCCTGTGGGGCCCCGAGTCCCCAAATCCCCACGTACCGCATGAATCCCGTGTCCGTGGTAATCGTGTCCCCCGGAACCACCAGGTGTTTCTTAGTATCGCGGTCCAAGCTCTCGCTAAGGGGCTTGCGAGCGACGGGAAGCCTCATCTCCATCGCCATCTTGGCGCCAAAGAATGGCGCAAGCGCAGTCCGGCCGGGAACCGCGACGTCCGGCTCCGCAATTCCCTGTGGTCGCTTGGAGGGGCGGGGCGGGGCGGGCCTCGGAGGAGCCGCCAATGGGAACGCACAGCCTGGTGGCCATGTTGACTATTGGCAACCATTAGGCTAACATGAAGGGAATGAGGGAGCCGAGTTTCCATTTTTACTATTGGCAGGGCTTCACCTGTGGAACTCTAAAAGCTCAGGTTGGATGGCGTTTGGTTTACCAAAAATCTCTCATAATCATCATCCCGTTTATTGTTTACCAGGTAGATAATTGAGAAATGGGCCTGTGAGTTTCCTTCCAACTCTAAGTTGCTAAAATGTGATTCCTGATTCTTTGGTATGAGAGAGCTTAGTAGGTAAGGGAGTTGGGACCTCCAGAAAACACTAGCTGGACAAAAAAACGAGGCCCTTTTCATACTGTTCCTCGTAGCCCGGTATTCTACGTTACCGCCTCCTCGTGGGTGCTGGTTCAACACCAACCATCCGCATCTACACACAAACGGTGCTCCAGATGCTGGTTCTGTTCTTTCTTGACTTCTTTTGAGTGAGCTGGGTTACTCTGACTTAAAAGGAAAACCGCCTAAGAAAAATATCCAAACCTTGCAAGGCAGTTATATTTTGCAGGGAGGGCAAGTACATAATATAAAGATCTTGGCTTATATTTTCTCACACAACAAATTGAGCCCTCTCTGTGTGCCAGGAGCTGTTCTAAGGATCCAGTGGTGGACAGAGGGATGTATATGTGGCTTTATCTCGGCGTCTGGTTTCCTAGGAGTGTTTCCCTCCTCCCTTCTCCCTGCCTCCCACCGCCCTCTCCCTCTCCCCTGCCCTGCATCCACAGCCTCAGGGAATTGGAGCTGATGATGCTTTATGCACAGGGACCCTAAAGGGGATTAAATGAAATAACTTGCACCAGCCTCGCACACTGCGTTCGGTAAACCAGATCCATTATCTCCTGAAGAACCCTCAGACCAGTTGTTTGATAAATCTCCAAAAAGACATTTCTTTCTGAGCAAAGCTCACAACTACATCTGTCAAGAAAGCCAATCCTGCAAGGTGGTCAAGGATATACATTCCAGGGCTCGGTGAGTCATCTGCCAAGCGGGCAGGCCACACACGCGCCCTTCTGTCTGGCAGAGGAGTAGAGCTACAGTAGTGGGAGAAGGGTCCATCTGTTGAACCTGGCCTCAGCCATAAGAGGGCAGTGGTGTCCTTTGAACCAGGGTAGCTCAGTCAGCTAGGGAGCTGGACCTGGGAGTGCCCCTAGGCCAAGAGCAGGGTGCTCTCGACAGCATCCACTTTCAGGCCAGAAAGGACAGTCGTAACCTCAGTCCCTCCCGTTGTCACATTGTGCTCACACGTTCAGCCAGAGCGAGCTTTTAAAAGCGCACCGGGTTAGGGGCGCCCAGGTGGTTCTGTCGGTTAAGCGTCCGACTTCAGCTCAGGTCATGATCTCAT